CCTAGTCATACTGAATACTGGAGAAGGCACATATCTAAATACCCGTTCTTGCAATTTAAGCGCCTTTGATTTGACCATCTGTTCCCCACAAATAGCACACCTTTTCCAATGGCAGGTATTGGAGGATAACTTCTCTGATCACTTACCTATTTTAATTAGAACCTTTGCGAAGTGTCATCCTCCCGTTCGACACAGTAAATGGAACATTAAAAAAGCAGATTGGTCTTTGTACCAATACATAATTCATCCTTTCAATATGAACGGCACTGTACATGAATCAGTAATAGAGATCACAATGGCATCATTAGGCAGCGGAGGGTAGTATCCCCAAAACAGCCAGTACAGTCCGTGGTCCCAATAGTGTACCTTGGTGGAACCGCGAACTTGATCATTCAATACAGAAGAAAAAACCAGCTTTTACTCAATTCAAAAGATGCCCAACACTATCTAATCTTATCAAGTTTAAAAAATATAGAGCGAAAGCCCGACAACTGATTCTGATGAGTAAGAACTCGTCCTGGAGGGAATTTGTATCTACTATATCTAGAACTACTCCCGATTATGAGATTTGGAAGAAGATTGGATTATTATCGGGAAAACGCTTCGCTATTCCATCACCTGTCCTGCTGATCAATGATAATGAAATAACAGACAATCAAGAGATCGTTAATGTTTTGGCACTTGAATTCCAAAATAACTCAAATTCTTCCAGCTATTCACCTAAATTTTCAACCAAGAAAGTTGAAGAAGAAACCACACACCTTGATTTTACTGAAGACATCTGCATATAACTTGCCTTTCACGTTAGAAGAAATGGAAAGTGCACTAAGTGAGGTCCACAACTCTACTCCAGGGCAGATTCTATACACTATGAAATGATTAGACACTTACCTGCAACAGGAAAAATGAATTTGCTAACTCTTTATAACAAAATTTGGGCGGAGGGTATATACCCCCAACAATCGCACGAGGCTGTGATCATTCCTATATTAAAACCTAATAAAGATCCAAAGAACCCTGGCAGCTATCGCCCTATATCTTTATCATGTTGCCCAAGCAAAATATTTGAAAAAATGCAAATAGGAGATTAGTATGGTTCCTAGAAGCACGGAATTTACTTTCAAATCATCAAATGGGCTTTCGGCGTCACCGATCCACTATTGACCAGTTAATCTACTTTGAATCAGCTACTCAGACAAGTTTTGCTAACCGAAATCACATGGTGGCAGTCTCTTTCGATTTAGAAAGGGCATATGATCGAACACGGAGGCACGGAATTCTGAAGACCCTATATTCTTGGCGACTTAGAGGCAACCTATTAACTCTCATATCAAATTTCATGGAGGACCGTTTGTTCAAATTTCGCATAGGAAATGAGCTCTCACGTGCCTATACACAGGAAAACGGCATCCCCCAAGGATCGACGCTAAGTGTGACACTCTTTATAATAGCTGTGAATCCCCTTGTTGAGTCGATAGAACCTCATATAGGCAAATGTTTATATGTGGACGACCTCACTATATTCTTCTCTGCAGAGGACCTAATAAAAATCGAGGAAACTCTACAAGCAGCAATAAATCATCTTACGGCTACAGCTGAGAGTCTCGGTTTTCAATTCTCCCCCGTAAAAACGGCCTGTATAGACTTTGTAGGCTGAGAACTCCACACACTAATCCTCGACTGTCACTAAATGGACATCTGATACAGTGTAAAGATACTCTAGATCTTCTGGGGCTAACGTTCGGCCAAAAACTTCACTGAGGTCCTCAGATTGAAAAAATCCTTGTTAGGTTCAAGAAGTCCATGAACATTATCAATGTATCTCTAACATCCAGTGGGGAGCCAGTCGGGAAGTCCTTCTGAAATTATATCAATCTTTGGTCCTTTCGAAAATTGAGTATGGTCTAATTGTGTTTGCATCAGCGCGTAAGTCTCATATTGAGAGACTGGAAATACTTCATAGAGATGGTCTAAGACGATGTATTGGTGTCTTTAGGACAAGCCCTTCAGATTCAATATACTGTGAAGCTGGAATACCACCTTTGAAATACAGAATACAGCAACTTAGCCTCAACTATGCAATAAAAACCGCCACCCGCCCCTTTGGAATCCGGGTCAATGAAATACTAGCCGTCCTAGGTATCGATTTGCCAGATGTGGATAACTTGATCTTACCTGATCTAGCACCATGGACATTAACAATACCTTTGACTGATACCGAAATGACTCGATACAAAGAAAGGGACAATTTGTAATGAGGCTATAAATCGAGTTTTTTAAACATTATTGCAAAATACTAACCATGCAAGATTATTTATACTGATGGACCGGAGACTGCTGAGGGAGTTGGTTGTGCCATAGCCTCTGAAGGATTTTGTCGTGGATGGAGTTTAAACTCGTCATGTTCTATATACTTCGCCGAACTTTTCGCCATCTTTCAGGCTCTTAACTATATAAAAGGTTTAGCAGGAGGTAAGTACCTTATCTGCAGCGACTCTCTCAATGCCATATTGGCTATCAACACAAGTACTCAACAGATCCTCTCCTCATAAAGACGCTGAGTCTCCACCATCAGTTGTATCAAGAAATAAACACGTTACTTTCATCTGGAGCCCAGGGCACTTTGGAATTCATGGAAATGAACTGGCCCATCAAACAGCACGCCAAGCAATTTTATTGGACGTAACAGGTGTACCACTTCGGCTAGAAGATGCTAAAGAAGCTATGAAGGAAAATGTCCTCCACTCATGGCAGGAAGAATGGAACCCCTCGAATAAATTTTTGAAGACATTCAAGCCAAGCATAAAAAAATGGAGCCTTCCACATATGACACGTAGAGAACAGGTAGTAGTTACGAGAATGAGAATAGGGAACACATTTCTTACTCACTCCCACATGCTATTAGGTAATCCACCACCAAGATGTGAAACATGTAATAAATTACTCTCATGGAAGCATACTGTTTGAGTGTCCTTTATACCTAGCTGCTAGAACAGCACACAACCTAGCTGTGGACTTAGAAAGTTGCTTTCTCACTACTGCCAACATAGGTTCTACACTTGATTTTCTTAAATCTACCAAACTGTTTAGTAAAATATAGTGCAATTACGTAGGATCCTACTGAATACATATACGTAAACTGATGATCTATGATTGATTAAGAAGTACTAGCGTCGGATATGTAATTAAATGCTTGTGTATCCACGATCATGTATGCTTATTTTATTAGTGTCCTTGTCTGGACTAAGTTAATTTATGTCTGATATAATATGTGTGTGCGTATACATGTGTAGATATTTTTTTTGTTCTTGTATTTTTTGTGTATTGAAATCTGAGCTACTTACATGACATCTGAGTCACCCAGATCTACCCCTGTGGTAAAAGTGGCAATTGACCGTATCATATGGGCAGGAGGGCTAATGGCCATAGTAGCCGATGCCGCTGTGGGCAAAAAAAATAATTAATAATAATAATAATAATAATAATAATAATAATAATACCCCGCAGGGGGTATCTACTTTTGAAGCTGGATCGTTGATCCACGGCCCCAGTCAGGGAGTTTCGGGATTTGGTAGTCTTGCTCATTCTACCAAACCCTGGACTTTACCCCCCTCTTTCCTATCCCTCATCCTTCTTTTCCCTTTTATCTTACCCCTTCCAGAACAGGAAACAACCTGCGAAATCCGGAACCTACGGTGTAAGGCGGACCGACCGTGCCTAGGGGTGAATGGCTGCACGTAGCGAGTCTCGAACGGTGCCCTCCAGGTGCCTGGCAACACTGGTTGTACTTAGCCTTCCTGTAGTATGGGAGCACTGCTGCAGGTGACCATTGTTTCTTCCCATTCTCGTGGGACAAATATGGATATATCTTATAACAAACAAACGGAGGGGCCCGCCCTCCACAAAACGGGCACTGGCACTGGCACGAGACGGTGGAATTAATGCCCGGTTCCTGCTTGTTAAAAGGACAGGAGAAACGTCTCCTGAAGGTTTTGACAAAGTGAGTCCATTTGTGATTTCGAAAACGCTATACGGATTAGTTGGAGAAATCCGATCTGTAAAGAAGATAAAAGAAAGTCTACTTGTTCAAACGTCTAGTAATGCACAGACACAAAGACTGTTAGCTGTAAAAAGATTTACTGATATGGATGTAGTAGTTACCCCGCATATAGGTTTGAATAAGTCTAAAGGTGTGATCTACTGCAGAGATCTCTGAATTGTGCACTAGATGAAATTAAGGAAGAATTAAAAACAGATGGAGTCATAGATGTGAGAAGATTGAAATCTAAAAAAAGTGGTGTTTTAACTGACACACCTTCGCAGGTACTAACTTTTATTACTCCCACGCTTCCAAACAATATTTGTGTTGCGTACTACAAACTTAGTATCAGCCAACACCTACATAAATTCGAGATCCATGACCTTTTCCGCCATAGATCTTTCCATCCCCCTACCATCGCAAACCTATTCCAGTGGAAGTGCTTGCAGAATATACAATCATCCGACCATTTTCCGGTTCAAATAGAATTCCCAGGTAAACTCAGTGTGTCTACAAGACCAAAGCGTTGGATAGCAGAAAAGGCCGACTGGGAAATTTACTGAAATACAGCCCATAACTTGGTAGACGTTCCGTTGTGTGTACGCTATCGTATAGTGCTCCTGTGAAATCATCAGTTTTTAGTGGTAAATACCCATCTAAACGATCTGAAACTTACATCATATTGTTGGGGAAGAGAAATGCTATTTGTCAGAATGCTTGCCTGGTTCGTCATATGGTTCTACGGTGCATAATTCAGCTTCTGAGATTGATCAAATTGTCTTCTTACAATTGCTGAGCTGATCATATGCAAAAACTGGTCCAGCCAGCGTGAAAAGGATCATTCTTTGCTTCTTGAAATTCCATAACGTTGTCCGGACAGTGGCGGAGCCAAAGCTAGTTTTGATCATGGAATGTTTAAAATGCAAAAAGTCGGATAGTTTTCCTATTTATCCTGTGATAGCTGCGAGAGACCTATTCATTCAGAATGTTCCGAACTCAATGAATCTGAGCTAAAGGTGATGGCCTTAAAAGGCAAACGACTACTCAAGTTTTATTGTGACGATTGTCTTTTGGGAATTAGGCTGGTTCCAAAATTAAATCAAAAAGTTGATAATTTGATAGAGGAACTGGAGAAGCTGAAAAAGGAATCTCCTCCTCCTGCACAGTCTTCATCACAAATCGAGTATGAGGAGGTTCTTCAAGAAATTGAAGAGCGGAACCGTAGGAAACAGAATATTATTATTTTTGGACTTACTGAAGATCAAAGTAGGACAAAGCAGGAACAGATAGCTCATGATACTCAAGAGGTTAAAAGTATATTGCAGACCCTTTCTACAGAAATTGATACCAATGTCAGACTCTTCAGGCTGGGAAAGTTTGATCCCACAAAGGATAGGCCTAGGCCGGTAAAGGTTTCTCTGCGGAACAATCAAGATGTCCTGTTATGCATTAAAAACTCTGCTAAGCTTACTCGTAGATCCGGTAACAGGAATACAAGAATAAGTATCTCTACTGACAGAACTCCAAAACAGCAGGAATTTTATAGAAAAGTCAAACATGAACTGGATCAGAGGATTGCTGCAGGTGAGAAGAACATCAGAATCAAATATGTACATGGTCTTCCAAAAATTGTTGCTAATTTAAACTGAATAGACCCAGCAGCGCTGAACTTCGAGCATATTATCAGAATGTTAGGGGCTTGAATTCGAAAATTGATGATTTATTTTCATCGGCAACCTTAAATGAATATGATCTAATTGGTTTAACAGAAACTTGGCTGTCCGAAAAAGTACGTGACTCTGAAATTTTTCCTGGAAACTACAGTGTGTTTCGTAGTGACCGTGATTTTGTAAGAACAAATAAATTGTCTGGTGGGGGTGTATTGTTGGCATGTAAAACTAGTTCTCTGGCAGAGCATGTTTTTTTAGATTTTTCTACTGATTATCCTTCCATTGACATAGTTGCGATTAAGTGCAAGCTACCACTCACTCTGTTTGTTTATGTTATTTGTATTCCACCAGACACTTCTAATGACACTTACGAAAGTTTTTTGTCACACATGAGTACGTTAATAATCAATCAGCCCAACGTTTTGATACTGGGCGATTTTAATGCCCCCGGTTTCGTATTTAGTCTCCATGCAGATTTTCGTTATACAACGCTATCAAATTTTTTAGATCTTACCAACACCATCCAATCTAACATGATATTAAATGCGCTGGGGCGATTGCTGGATTTAGTCATAAGCACTGAAAGTGTACCATGTATTATTTCACGGGAAGCTATTTCTATTGTAAATCAAGTAGATCCTCACCATCCACCTTTAAGTATCCTATTTACCATACAGCTGTCTAGTAGGTCTAACTTGTCCCCAAATACTGAACCTACATCACTGATGTATAACTTCAAGAAGGGGTCCTATGTTGGCTTATATAATGCTTTTTAGTTATATTGACTGGTCCTTTTTACGTAAAATTACTGATGTTAATGAACTATGCGATACATTTTATGTTAAAATTTTTTCAATATTTGATATTTATGTTCCTAAATATACCCCACCTGCAAATTCAGGTATCCTCCTTGGTATACTGGAGAAATTATAAGTAACATAAATTTGAAGGATTATTACTACAGAAAATATAAGCGAACACGCAATGTTTACCATTACAATGAATTTTCTAGATTGCGCAGAATCATAAAGGGGCGAGTTAGAGTTGCTTACAGTGAGTACTTGTCGTCGGTTGAGGACAGTATAATCAACGACCCGAAGAAGTTCTGGTCATACATTCGGAATAAGAGAGACTGTAGCAAATACCAGGCCAAGTCCAGTTCACAAACGGCAACGTATTCAGTACTCCACAAGGTGTTATTGATGCATTTGCCGACTATTTCAAGAGTGTGTATGTTACGTACTCTCGAAATATTCCCTCTTCTTTAGTTAGTGTCACTTCAACATCATGTATTTTCTAGAGGAATTAACGGAAGCTGATGTACTGAAGTCTCTCTCTAAGCTTCAAATAAACTTACGTCTGGTAGTGATCAAATACCTAGTTTTATTATTAAAGATTGTGCTCATGTTTTCGTCAAGCCGATGCTGATAATTTTCAATGCTATATTAAAGAGTGGAATTTTTCCTGATGTTTGGAAGATAGCTAAGGAGTGTCCGGTCCTGAAAGATGCTGATAAATCTGATGTACTCAACTACAGAGCTATAAGCATTTTGAACAACTTTGCAAAGGCTTTTGAAATGGCCATTTACTCTTTTATCTTCGTGAACGTTAAAAGCCTAATTACTCCATCACAACATGGTTTCATCAAAGGTAGATCCACTACGTCAAATTTAATGACAATTACGCAGTATATAGCAGAATCGTTAGACAAGAAACAACAAGTCGATGTTATTTACATGGATTTCAGCAAGGCTTTCGATAAATTAAACCATCATCTTCTTGTGGATAGCCTTCATTATTTCGGCCTTAGTGACTCGTTAGTCGGTCTTTTAAGCTCATATCTTTCTAGTAGGACGCAATATGTTTACTATAATGGTTATTCTTCAGCAAATTATACTGTTCCCTCTGGAGTACCGCAAGGTTCAAACCTAGGTCCCTTGCTGTTTTTATTCTTCATAAATAACCTAGTCGCTTCACTAAAGTGTGAATGTCTACTATTTGCTGATGATCTGAAATCTACACCAAAATTACAAATTTGGAGAGCTGTATTTCCCTTCAGGACGATCTGCATACTATCAGACAGTGGTGCGACAATAATATTCTCTTCTTAAATATTTCCAAATGTAAAGTATGTTCATATTGTCGTAAAATGAACCCGATTATGTTTGATTACTCCATAAATAATGCGGTTCTGGAGAGAACAACAGAGACTAAAGATCTTGGTGTAACATTTTCCTGTAGATTGGACTTTCTGTCCATGTAGCACGCGTCACTTCCGAAGCGACACGGATTCTGGGTTTCATAATGCGCAACTGCCGATCTTTTTCCAATGAAGCGGCACTAAAAGCTCTTTTTATTTCACTGGTGCGACCAAAACTTGAGTATGCCTGTTTGATATGGAACCCTTTCTATGCGTATATAAGCATCGTAGAAAATGTGCAGAGGAAATTTCTTAAGTTCTGTGTTATAAAATCGATGGCACATCCAGAAAGGGGGGTCTCTCAATTTGTTCTGCTGCGTCGTTTTGAACTAGAGTCTCTACAGTTAAGACGTTCCACTGCTGGCCTATCATTCCTTCATAAGCCTTTGCACGACAGAGTGGATGCACCAGAACTTCTCCAGAGGTTAAATTTCTATATTCCACGGTTAAATACGAGAAGAACTCTAACTTTCTACTGCAGTACCTCCCGTACAAATGTATTATTTTATTCTCCGCTACATTCTATATGCAACAATTATAATTCCATAGCAGACAGTTCTGACATTAATTTTGATTGTATCAGTAAGATCGTGTCGAATTTCAGGTACTATTATAATAGCTAGTTCTATTTTTTAACTTAGTTTTAGGTATACATTACATGTATGAATTATAAGTAAAGTTACCATGATATTGTCCTTTAATTGGAATAGTTCTGTTGGGCAATAATGTATAAATAAATAAATAAATAAATTACCATCTTCCTAAACATTTAACTGACAACATTGATTCTTCTGTATCTAAAATATCTGAAGGGATTCTGAAGTCGGCACAACTGTCAGTCCCGCAGTCGTCAGGCTATTCTTGCACGAAGTCCGTGCCGTGGTGGAATGAAGAGGTAGCCCAGGCAACAAGGGATAAGAAAGCTGCCTTCAACAGATTTAAACGTGATCTCACTTACCAAAACCTGATAGAATTCAACAAACTTCGTGCTAAAGCTAAACAAGTCATACTAAAGGCAAGACGTAAATCGCTACAAAGTTACGTTTCATCTCTTGACCGCAACACTCTGATTTCAGACATTAGGAACAAATTGAAAGCTATATCAGGAAAGAAGCATCAATCCCCAACAGAAGCACTATGTGTTGATGGAAACACTATTACTGATCCTCAACAAATCGCAGAAGCATTTGCATTATGAAAACGTAAGCTCTTCACACGCTTACCCTGTGGGGTTCCTTGAACAAAGGGAGACAGAATTCCTGGAACCCATTCCGGACACAGTGCAAGAAGAACAACATTACAATCTACAAATTTCAATGCAAGAATTTGAACATGCGTTAAATAGTACCAACAAATCTTCACCTGGCAGACACAACATTCCTTATGAGTTTATCAAGAACTCTCCTCTACACACAAAATACTCCTGCTAGAACTCTACACAGAATCTGGCATTCCGGATATTATCCTGCGGCTTGGAAAGAGACAGTAATCATTCCAATAGCTAAGCAAAGTAAGAACCAACTTTTACCGAGCGACCATAGGCCAATATCCCTCACTTGTTGCATGGGAAAACACCTAGAGAAAATAATATCTTTACGACTATCCTGGTATCTTGAATCTCAGGGCCTATTAACAAAATACCAAACAGGGTTTAGGAACCATAGATCTGCAATTGACATGTCGATGAACCTTGAGCATACCATACAGAATACATTTGCGAACAGACTTCATATGGTTGGCGTATTCTTTGACTTAGAGAAAGCTTTCGATCGAACCTGCAGGTTTAGTGTACTTGAAGCGCTAAAGAAATGGGGAATACACGGTAAAATGATAAATTTTTTCAAAAGCTTTCTAGAAGAACGGAGATTCGCAGTAAGACATGGTAATTCTCTATCAAACAGTCACGTCCTGGAAAGCGGAATACCCCAAGGATCTACGTTGAGTGTTCTCCTTTTTAACAATAAATGAGATATTTAGTGACCTAAATCCCAGCATTGGCCAAATCATGTATGTTGAGGACATTGCCATTTATTACTCATCGAACTCGATCGATGACATCCAAGATAAACTGCAACAAGCATTAAACGCAATTGTCGAAAAAGCAAGTAGCATAGGCTATCGTTTTTCTGAGACAAAAACTCGATGTGTGCACTTTTGCAGACTTAGGAGAACGCACGACCATCCACAAATTGTAGTGCATGGACGCCAGCTTCAGTTTTGTGATACAATAAAGGTATTAGGACTCATATTCGATAAAAAACTCTACTGGAAAGAACACATGCAGGATTTAGTCGCAAGATGTCAAAAAGCCATTAAACCCACTTCGTTTTATGTCAAACATCAACTGGTGCGCCGACAAGGAAATCTTGTTAACGTACTACAAGTCAGTAATACTATCCAAATAGACTATGGAAGTGTCTTGTATGGTGCTGCACACCACACACTTGAAAGCTTTGGACACAATACAATGCACAGCTTTGAGGTTAGCAACTGGGGCCTACCGCACAAGCCCCACCGCTCACTTTGTATCGAAGCCAATATTCCTCCGATAGAATTGCATCGCCAGCAAATCCTTCTCACTATGGGATCAACGTATATAGTCAAGCCGCAGCACCCCAACTACGCAATGATGTTTTTACAACGAGATAATGTATACAACTCAAGGCCCACAATCACCAGACCCACTGGCGTAAGAATCAGAGAAACTAGGAATAAATTTCAAATTTCATTTCCAGATGGGTCCATGTGAAGTTCCGCCATGGATAGACCACCATGTAAA